GCCAAAGCACCCCTTCCTCCCAGGCACTTACCCCTGCGACCTGTTGAAGCTTTCCCCTCATTTCTGAACTGGCAAAAATAAATAAATTAAAAAAAGAGGGGGGGGGGTGGGGAGGGAGGGAGGAGGGAGAGGAGAGAAAGAAAGAATGAAAGAAGAAAACAATACCCCCCCCCCCAAGAACCCACCACCTCCTTGGCGCTTCCATCGAGGCTGTCATCCTTCATTTCTTCTTTTCTGGCTTTCTGGAAGCAGTTAGGGAATGTATGATGAAGCAGAAATGAGCCGTCAGGATGATATTTTAATGGCTTATATGTCACGTTGGTGCATGTGGCTTTGAACTGGAGCAGCTTTCGTTTCCTGCAGAGAGCGCGCCGCAAATCCCACTTGATAACTTCTACAACCCACAACATTTTTTTTTTACATTCACTCCTGCACTGTATATTTAAATACGCTTCCCCAAAATACCCTCTCGTCTGCCTGCTCGTATATTTTATACGGACCTGGAAGGAGCACTGGGTCCCCCTGCATATGGAGACTGGCTAGCAGCGGACTGTCGAACTTTCTGCATCTCCTGGGGCTCTCGCCCCTAGGATTTCCCCATAATGATGACTACTTTGTCCTTTGCACCCGGTAATTTTAGAAACAAATACAGAAGGTGTTTAAAGAACATTCACACACTCATACACGCCTGCACGTAGAGTGGTGCCTATACCTGTTGCTATAAGTTATTGCAATTGCAGTTCCATCGAATGCATTAGACAGAATAAATGCAAACGTGTAGATTCACTTCTTCATTATCCTAAAAAAAAAAGGAAAAAAATGTAAGCGTCCCAAGATCCAAGGGAAATTACATAATAAATCTGCTTTGAAAATGATCTCCATCTATTGAGCACATGCAAACTGCATCTGCAGATAAACTGCCGTCAAAAATTCCTTCCAGGCATATCTAAGTTTATTTGTTGCTTGATTGTTTCCTAGGCGCAATAGCCATTATTTTTACCTCTCCAAACAGGCGACATTTAGCAGAGCAGCGTCCTCGCAATGTCCCTGCTCTCCTGATGCCCCAGTACCTGCGAGGCGCGTTGCTCCCTAGTGCCTTTAAATAGAAAGGATGAGTTAAAAGTTTCTTTGTTTAGCACTGCGAATTTGAGGGGCTCAGATCTAGTGGCGAATAAGCTAAGTGGAGGACTGAACAAAGGCGAAGTGGAAGGGATCCGACTCCGAGCTGCCTTTTTGTGTTTTCGTTACTAAAAAATAATTAGCCCTAAAGCATATGCAAGCGACTGAGTAAACAAATAATTTGCTACTTCTATATATGCATACACACACACACACGCACACAAACGTTAAGATATATATACACACGTATATACATACATATATAAAAAACTTTAATGAAATCTCTTTTTAAGTGCCGAAGCACCGTTTAAAATATTGTACAAATGTTGCTTAGCCTAATTGATTAAGCCACAAAGGTTTTCTGCTTTTAAATGCTATACTTATACCTTTCAACAATCATTTTAATATATAGTCAATGCCTCTTTGTAGCGAGAACAAAAAGGAACTATCCGCAGTTTTTCAATAGACTTTGAGCTGGGGAAAGACAGGTTAATCGAGGGTTGCATCTAGAAAACAACCAAGTGTTGTATGTTTGCACTGAATCCAAATGTCTGCATTTTTCTAACTAAATCAAAGGGAGTGTTATTTCTTTTTCTGCTCACTCATCTGAAGGTAAGTAAATTTTCTCTGGCGATCAAAAGCCTGGTCAGCAACAAAGACACCGCCTGCTTTTTCCACCGTCCTGGTGTGGCAAGTTGAGGAATTTCAATAACTGTGACAAGGGTGACTGATTTGTGAACTAGAAAAGATTTGAATGTCAGAAAATTTACATTGCTCCTATCTATCGAGGATTTTAAATATTTTTTCCCAAAAAGAAAAGTATCTGGGAGCTTCATGCAGCAGGAGAATAAACAATGTAGGTTTGGAAAATTTACAGTTTTACCTGAATGAAAGGGATTGTGAAAAGAGTGAAGAGAGAGAAAGAAAATAACAAAAAGAGGCGAAACAACAACAACAAAAGTAGAAAGTTAAGAGTTCTCACCCACCTGCGTTTTGATGGGTGCAGAAAACAAGATTTATTTCAGAAAACTGATGGTAGGATAGCCCCAGCTACCCAGAGAGATCGCGCCTGTGGTTTAAAAATGCAACCCAGCGCACTCAGCACCTACTCTTGGAGAGCTTCAATTTTAAACGAGCGGGAAAGACACAACTTCAAAAGGAGAGAGGCACTACAGGGCTCCTCTGCCTAGAGCCCGAAAGCTAAGTCCAGGGGGTCTTAAAAATCCTGCTTTCCCAAGAAATCATTATTACAGTGCTGGAGAGAGGGAGAGACAGAACGAGATGGGGAAAATCACGGTAATAATAATTAGAGATCTGTGATGTTTTTTATCCTTATTCTACTTGCACACAAACACACACACACACATACAAAAAAAAAAAGAAAAAAAAACGCGGTGGAAATATTTTCGGGGGAGGAAAAAAAAATAAAAAAAAAAAGAAGGAGGCTCTCTGGAAAGCCCAGCGAAGTTGCTGCTCCTGGCAGCGCAGGACGGGGAGGGCCGTCGAGGCGCGCACAATACGTGGGATTGATGAGGCGCGCGGGCCAATCCGCGCAAAAAACCGCCCCCGGCTCCCATTCATCAAGGGGGGGGACGGTGTCGTCTTTTCAATTCATTTATCTGCAGGAATGATTGCCGCTATCAGTCTCGCGTTCACCGCCCGGCTGAGGAGGTGAAAGTTTCTCCCCAGGAAGATAAACCGCAAAAGACAATATTGTGCATGATTTGCGCCTCTTTTTTTTTTTTTTTCCTGCAAAGCGAAAGAAAAAAAAAAAAAGGCCAAAAAAAAAAAAAAAGGAAAATAGGGGAGAGTGTGGGGAAGCTCGAAGAGGAGAGAGGAACAATCTCTCGTCCTCTTTGCAACATTCCTATAGCCAAAAAATCACTGAAGGAAGTTTCTCTTTTTGTTTTGGCTTTTTTTTTTTTTTTTTTTTTGCTGCCCGTGTTGATCTCTCTCCGTTATTGTTGTTTGCAGCCAGTTTATTTTTGAGCCCACCCAACCCCCTCCCCCCTTAAACCTTCCTGAGAAGTCAAAGCAGAGAGAGACAGTGAATATTTTTGGGGGCACGTTTTTAATATAATTATTTGCGACTGCGAAGAAGATCTCTTCCCCGCTTTCACACAAGACTCTTTTTTTTTTTCTCCCTCCCTTTTCTTTCCCCCCCTGCGCTGATGCCGAAGGGGGTGTTTTTGATGTGGTTGCTTTGGTGGTGATCGTCGCCGACTTTCCAGAGAGGGTGTTTTTCGCCGCCGCCGCTGCTGCTGCTGCTGCTTCTCTCCGCGTTGTGTGTGTGCGCGCGTGCTTTTTTTTTGGTTGCT